ATTTATTTGGGCATAAGCTTTCGTGAGTAAAAACCTCACTTCTTCAGATGCATAGCTATGCACGAAAGCTTATGCCCAAATAAATCTGTTAGTCTTTAAGGTGCCACCAGACTCCTTGTTGTTTTAAAAAGATTAAGAAATAGCTAAGTGAGGGAAGCTGGATTATCAGGATCTAGAGAAATGGCAGAGGAGGAAAGGCAGATTATAAAGGCCATTTTATCAATACAAAGCTAGATCTATTAGTCTGGTGAGAGTGCTAGTGCAATAGTTGAACAGTGAATCCAGTAAGGCAATCTACAGGGATTAATGGTGTAATGAACAAAAGTAATGCATACAAGTGGCATAAGACAAGCCCTCTCAAAGGGCTCAGATACTCTGGTGATGGGGGCAATGTAAGAACCTAGATACAAAGCCAAGGTTGAATAAAGGGCCCAAATCTTCTCTCCTTTACACTAGTGCAACTCTCAAGTCAATGGAATTATACTGGCATGATAGAAGATTTATTTTGGCATTGCAGACAATGAAAGAGCTGAAAACAAAGGGGTTTTACTTTGAAGAGTGGCAGAATCCTCCATGTCTCGCTGTGGGCACGGCTTAGCACCTTCCTGGGAATGGTATCCCTAGTCACCCTACACAGGGCTTAACAGCGCTAGCAGCCAGTTTATAAGCCACACTGAGACTAAGCCAATGTAGCAAGATATGAAAGTTCCCTAAGGATTTTAGTCTGCTCTAGCAACAGCCTCAGCATGTCTCATTCACACAGACCCAAAAGCACAAGGCTGTTAAAGTGCCACTTTGAGGCTTCTTTAGTCAAACATACATAGTCGCAATTCCAGCACAAAGCAGGTGATCTAGTTACACTAGGTTTCTACATCCAACAGGTGTCCTCTGAGGGTTTCTGGAACCATTTAGAGAGGAAGGATGGTCCTGGGGTTAAGGCACTGGATTGGGACTTGGAAAAACTGGGTTCCGTTCCCACTCTGTCACAGATTCCATTTGTGGCCTTACAGAAATGAAGTAACTTGCCTCTGTTTAATTCTCCCTTTCTACCTCCCTGGTCTGGCTTATCTACTTAGACTATAAGCTCTTCAGAGTAGAAACCAGCCTACTCCATTTATGTAGTGTCTAGCACAACAGAATCCCAATTTCATTTGGGGCTCGTAGCTGTTGTGTAATAAAAATAAATGATGATTTCTTATCTGACTTAGCAGAAGTTAGTATGGGAGGAGGCCAACAAAGCCTAGAGGGGCTCACCTCAAACTCCTGAAGATCCCACTTAGGCAGTGATGGAGGCCACACCTGACAGACACATTCAAGGCAGCGTCTCAGAAAGGAAATGCAAAAGTACCCATCAATCTAGGTAGAAAAGCAGACAGTAAAGGTAAGAAGCAGAAAGGAAACATAAGGAAAGAAGGATGAGTAGTTAAAAGCTTGGACATTATTACAAATTGATTTAATACTGAGGGGTTAATTAATTAAAGAAATATGGACAGTTATTGATGTAAAATAGATAAACCCTTAAGCAGTGACAATCATCTGCCATCAGCAAGGAATAAGGAAGGAACAGTGTAGAGGAAGTTGAAGCCATTATACCTCATTAGCAAGCAGGCACATCCCATCCACTGATGAGTACAATTGGGCTGGGGAAGGGGAGCAGCAGGGGAAAGTTTTTCATGAACAGTGTAGCAAGTTGCTGAACTCCATTTCAATTCACCCCATTTGCTCCCCCTTTTATAAAGCACTTCTGTGAATATTTGTGCAACCAACATTGTCTCTGTATGAATGTTCAAGGGAAATTAATTTCAGTTGATGCAAACAGAAACCAATTATTAGAAAATGAGTTTGTCTATAGATCTGTTTAAAGGGCTTTTTACATTATGAACGAAGGAAAAGCCTGTCTGTCAACACACCCCATAAAACAAAAACAAATTTAGCCTTATCTTAGACGTTTAACAGAACAGCACCTCTCATTGCTTCATCACTATGCAAACAGAACATTGGCCAAGTCACGTACAGGTCGCCAGCAAATTCCTGGATTCTGAGGCACATTTGGGAGATTTGAGATTTGTAGCCATGAACGTCTATAAATACAGATACCTGCGTTGAGATGAGAAACTTCAGCTGGTGAGTTTGATTCCACTGCTTCTCACTTCCCTTCAAAAAGAAATCATGGCACTGGCCTGCATTGCTATTATTCTTGGTTCAGCACATCTCCTTACTGCTAAACCCCTGGATTGTGAGCCTCTAGCTCCAGAAACCATGGACAATGCTACAATGACCAAGGTAAGAAGTGCCCTTGGAAGGGCATCAACTTCTGATGCTTATATTCTAGATGGGGCACTCAGAGGTTCATGAAGGACCTGCCCTAGACCAAGGCACAGGCTAGGCATTCAGGCAAGGGAACCATTTAGTAAAATTAACCATATAGTCAGGCTTTTAATCTTACAAGCTGAGTAGTATTTATACCTCATCAGTACCCCCGAAATATAAATTACTGAATGGAGACTGGGCAACAACAGTGTGCTCTGCAGGTTTTAACCCAAGACCTGGAGATGTTTGCATTCCAAGAGATAGACCCAGGAGGGAACCCTTAGAAATGAGAGGGAGAAGACCTGACAGAGCTCATCCATCCACATTGGCCAGGCCAGGATTGGTCCCTGAGGAACATTTTCTAGTGCCTTCCGCACCTACTTTTAAACATTCCAAACGATGGGGATTCCAGAAGCATGGGCCTCTTCCCCAAAAAAGTATCCTTGAAACCTTAGGGCCCTCAGCATCCTACTGTTCATGCCACTTATTTTACTGGGGATTCTTAATAAATCTCTCTCTGAAGAGGTGCCAGTGACCGTGGAATCAATGTGAAGGGAGTGCCACAATGGCAGCTAAAAATCAACATTTACAGTCTGGAAACTCAGGTGGAGCGCTGCCCTCTGCAGATATAGGAAAAAATAAAGCCAGCATAAAACCAATTGACCTCCTTCCCCATTCTGTGAGCCACTCACAGCCGTAACCAGTTAGCTCTTGCAGATGAAGGATGCCTGCAGGGCAGCTGGCTTCTGTCTTTACAGGGCTCATGAAGGGGCTCAGGGACGCTTCCAGTTTTCTCAAATGATGCCAGCAGTTCCAGCCATATTTTGTTGGAGTCAGCCCCTTGGCAGGGAACATGACTGCCCCCCTCTCCTCTTGTACCAGGTGTTGCCACAGCTGTCACTATGTCTCCTTTTTCCTGTCCACTTTCTTTACATGTCTCCACTGCTTAATTTGTCCCAGGGCTCAGCCCCGGCACCTCTGGGCGTCCCATGTCAGTTATGAAAGTAAAAAAATTGCTTGAGCCCCAGAAACCTCCTTCATTACAAATTAAGCACTGCATGTCCCCTTTCCCCTCTTTTCTGTGTCCCCTCTTCCTTTTGATTTCTTATTCTTTTTTGTTTGTTGGCCTGGTTTTGCCAATTCTTCTCCCTGCCCCCGCCCCATAACTCGGATTCCCCCTCCCTACTTCATCAGTCAGCAGAAGACACACCGTGCTACTGGGAGTGGGGGTGGGGCAGAGTTGCTATCCAATGCAGCGCTAAGTGCCATGGGAGCAAAGGAGAGGAGTTTAGCACAGCGAGCTGCCAGCTGAGCCTGAACCCCTGTACACATGAGCTGTTCCCACTCGCAGCTACATTACACAAGGCAGTAGGGAGGGCAGGTGGAGAACTTTCAAAGAGCCACCATCCTCTTTGCCAGTGGACGAGGCAGTATGTTTATTCCATGGGGAATGGTATTGGCATCTTGCAACTTTCCTCACCCACAGCTTTCCCTTCTCTTGGGCACATGGTCCAGCACAGCCCCTCCCCACAAGTTTGAAAACAGTGTATTACAGTGGTCCCCTCCTCGAATACTCACCATGACTTTGGGGGGAAATGGGCAGCATGGTGGTGGCCTGGGGTCACATACATGGCATAGAGCATTACACAGAGTGCTTTGATGGCATAAGGAGAAGGTGGTTGTGGCTTTTCAGCACCTTGATCCTCTTTCAAAGGAAGCTTTAGTTCCATCAGGTAAGAAGAGGCGGCTATCACCACCAGCTGTGAGAAGAGCATGGGGTAACAGGCAATCTGCCATAAAACTTACTGCCACAAAAAAATAGATCTATTTAAGTTGTAAGTTCAGGAGAGAGACCATTCTCCTCTGTGTCCGCACAGTGACTTGTACAACAGGGGTCCTGATCCTGACTGGGACCAAAGACAAATAATAATTACACATACACACACGTTGAGGCTTATAGGGTCTCCTAACAATTGGTTTCTTTTTCTTCCCTCCTCATCTTCACAGCTGCTGGGCAAGTGGTTCTACATTGGTGGGGCCTCACAGCACCCACCCACCCTACAGGAGTTGGAATTGATAAAGAATGCTTATTTCTTCTTGTACCCTGGCAGCCTTCAAGACGAGCTCCTCGTCACAGAAGTCATGAAACTGTAAGAGCATTAACACAGACCTTACTGACAGTGACATGCTCCCTTAGTCAGGGAAAATATTTACACTAACATTTCCCTCAGAAGGGCCAGGTACCAGGAACCATCAGTAATGAAACAGAACATGCAAGTCTTTCTTGCAAAGTCTTTCTATGCTTGAAGGTCCCTGACTCACACTGAGGCTGCATATGGCTATTCCATGCTTATCCAAACCACTACCAAGAGCCAACATGCAGCCTTCCCTAACTCCATCTCTTCCTCTTAGGCAGGGGTGGGCAAACTTTTTAGCCCGAGGGCCATATCGGGGAATAGAAATTGTATGGAGGGCCAGGAATGCTCACAAAATTGGGGTTGGGGTGCAGGCTCTGGGGTGGGGATGAGGAGTTTGGGGTGCAGGAGGGTGCTCCAGGCTGGAATTGAGGCATTTGGAGAGTGGGAGGGGGATCAGGGCTGGGGCAGGGGGTTGGGACATGGGGAGAGGCTCAGGGGTGCAGACTCCGAGCGGCGCTTACCTCAAGCGGCTCTCGGAAACAGTGGCCTGTTCCTTCTCCGGATCCTACGCGGAGGCGCGGCCAGGCAGCTCTGCATGCTGCCCCATCCATAGGCACCACCCCCACAGCTCCCATTGGAGTACGTAGGAGCCAGACCACGGCACGGTTTCCGAGAGCCACATGGTGCAGCCCCCGATCCTGCACCCCGGCTGGAGCGCCAGAGCGGGACCAAGCTGTGTGGTGAGGCTTGCGGGCCGTAGTTTGCCTACCCGTACTGTTAGGCCTTCTCATTCAGAGTAGTCCTTGATCTTCTGGACAGCAGGCTCCACTGTTGTCTCACCTTTGGCCTGCATTGTACGTGTTCTGTATCTGGGCAAGGGCCATTAAAATCCAGGGCTGTCAATCCTGCATCAAATCCTATTCTCATACACACAAAGTGCTACTCTGGAACAGAAGGGTGGACTCAGCTACTCTGACAATCCCTTCAGATTTACCTCAGTTGACTGGGATGCTAATGTAATATACATACAGAAAGATTGCGTGCAGAGCTGCGTTTGATAGAGGCATGTAATTCCCATTGGCTAGCAACTGAATTTAACTCAGAGCCATAGAGCATCACCCTCTGTGGTTACTCCCCTGATTAGTCTCTTCCCCTTTAGGAAGGACAAGTGTGTGGTGGACAACTCCAGTTACATTTCAGTCATCCGGGACAATTTTACAATGATCCGGCACGGTAAGAATCCAGAGATGCTAGGGAGAAAAGCAGAAATGTCCAGTGCATCCCACTGGGAAGGGTGGACTGAGTTGTGGTTGGAGAGGTAGGAAGGTTTTTCTCCTACATTTCACTTCCTCATTTCTACCACACATTTATCTGGTCCCACAGCAGAGTTGGATGACCGATCTGAATCCAAGGGTCAGCTTCCCCAACTTGGCAGGGGATAATTTCCTCCCCTCGTGGGCAATTCTTTGCAACATGCTCATTACAGAGATGTAAGGATTTGTCTGTAACAGGTCATTTCTGTACCCAGCGTAGTGGCCTCCATATGCAATAAACACACAGAACTGCCAAAGGTGGTCATTCTGCTATCAGCTAACACTAGTTTCCAAAAGGGTTTAGCCTGCTGGCGTGAAGGGGTCAGCACAGCCACGTTGGTCTGCCAAGCCATATTTAAACACCAGTTCCTAGGTCTGTATGAGTTGACACCTATGCACAGTTCCACAGAATACAGTCAAATGCCCTTGCAGGTTTATATTACACTTCTCCTGAGATTTGGACCGAATACTCTAACCACCCCTTGTGCCTGTTCTCCTGAAGGGCCAAATGAAAGTTCCGTAGCACAACTTATCAAGAGCAGCTCCGGAGACACTATGACACTATACCACATTGATGGGACCTACAAAGGGTTATCGATCTCGGGTGAGTAAACCACATCCCAGCACCAGAAAAGGACCTAGATAGCCAGAGATGCTCTATGTAGCCCTGTTACCATAGCATCTCTCAAACATTAATGAATTTATCCTCACAAACCCCCTACAAAGTAGAGCAGTTTAATTATCCCCATTTTACAGGGAAGGAACTGAGGCACAGAGTAGATTAAGTGCCTTGCCCAAAGGCACACAAAAAGAGCCTGGAACTGAATGCAGGTCTCTCAAGGACCAGTGCCCTAAACTTCAAGAGCATTCTTCCTTCTGATCTGCTCCTGGAAAAGTGGCTGCAAGACCTGAGAAAGAGAAAGGCAGGGACAGGGCATGAAAATTAAGTAGCTGCCTAGTTGGGGCTGGGCAGAAATTGTGGCTGATTCTAGATCTTTTAACACCGTGCATATGCTTAACAATTATCTAGGTCCTAGGACAAGAAGATTGTGTCCAGGATGGTAAATATTTAAAACCTCAGAACCAGTTTTGAGCCACTGGAGATGGGCTGACCAGACAAGTCTCTTCTATCCCCTCCCTTACCCAATAATAATAAATAATAATAATAGGGGAAATAGAGGGTCCCAGCAAAGAAGAATAAAGAGGGGATGCCGCTCCCTTAGCTCAAGGGGGAGAGGCACGTGCTTTTGGAGTAGGAGATGAGTGCTAGCCTTTGTTACTGTGAAAGCCTCAGATTGACCGTAGGTACAATGCAGCCACTACACCTCCTAAAATTAACTCTGCCAAATGATTTGCTGCAATTTGTTGTTTCATCTTTAAAAACAGCCCGGACCCAAAACTTGACCACAGAGCAACTGGAAGAATTCGAAACTCAAGTGGCATGCCTTGGATTGAAGGAAGAGGAAATAGTCTATACTTCAATGAAGGTAAAAAATCAACATGGGGTTCCTATGAGAGTTATCAAGCCATCTTTAGAGCTTCAGAATCGCATTGAAATTACCAGGAGCTGGAATCAAATTAAATGCTCCAGACTCCTCCCTGAAAAATGGTCTTTTTTTTTTTAAAGTGTAGTAACCCAAAGCAAACCCCAACATGTAACATATTCAAGAACATGCACTGCACCATGATGATATGGTACAATGAATGGGCTAGTGAGCCATCCACTGCCCTTTAATTAACAGAATCAAAACTGCTCAACCATCTGCTATAGAACTTATACTGGTAACCCCAGTGGAGACTCTCCAGTTGCTCCAGGTGAGCGGGAGGTTCTAAGCTAGCTGTCCTCATGAAATGCCAAGTGTGCACCATAGGGACAACCATGAAGTTCCCTAGTGGCCACAAAGGTATTCACAGCAAGTATTATATAAACCAGAAAGAATACAGGAGCAAACCCTCTACCCCCATGCCTTGACAGGAATTAAACAGAGAACTTTAGCTGCACAGACCCCTTCCCCAAAAGAAACATAAGCTTCACAGTTATTGTAAAACTGATAGGCACTGACCAGGTACCAGGCTGGTGTTAGATCGGAGTCCTTCCCTTCCAAAGCGCCTAATCCTTGGCTTCCTTGGGGAAGTGCCACCAGACTCCACATTCACCAGTTCATTCCTTAATCCTCTCAAGTCTTTTGGAATCCTGTCAGGTTTAACCACCACCATAGTGAAAACTGGGATTGCCAAATCCAGAGCCTCCAAAAACATTGAGACAGCGTGCAATGATTAAGGCCAGACATACTCAGGCCCATTTCATAAATGCTTCATCCTTCCCTCTGAACAGCCAGCTCTCCCCAATAGCTGGCTGGGGCAGCTGTTAGCCCTTAATGAGCTAATGATAGGCAATGCAAACCCACACAAGGAATACTACATTTTAACAGCTCCTCTCCCAGCGAAGGGGTTTCACCTTTAACATTCACCTCAATTTGCTTGCTTGACAAAAGCTTCGCTGCTGAGCAAGCATATTGTTCATATTCCCGAAGCAGCAATGAGACAAGTCCACATCCTAGCTGAAGCAATTTAAATCTTTAAATAGAGAGAACAAACTGTTCTTGCGACACAGCTTCTTGCCTTAGAGGCTGCTGAAGTTGACACTATTTTAGCCCTTTAAGGATTCTAGTGTGTTAGGCAGGAGGAATTTGAAAATGCACAAGAAATAGTGCTAGTTTTGCTGTAAGAAAATCCTGTAATACTGAGAGCAAATTTTACACACGCAATACTGATTCTCACCTTTGTTCATCTCTGTAGGATTTCTGTCCCATGGAAGAAGAAACAGATGACAAAAAGCACTCAGTTGAAGTGGTAGAACCATCACTGGGGTAACTCACATTGCCATAGCAACGTTGCCCTCCACACTGGATATCAGCAGTTGTTCATTCTCTTCTACCTGTTTAGCAACTGAAGGATCTCCCCTTGTCACATCTGATCATGTGGGTTTCTTTGGTACAAACTACTGACATCTTCATTTTCTGTGTTCTGCACCTTTAAATTTCTAAGTAGTTTTCACGCATGCAGAGCTCAGCAATCATTTGTTCTCACTTCTTAGTGCAGACTTTCACAAAGGAGACCCACACACTATGCTCTCGCCTGAAGACTTTACTTTTGTTCTTTCTTGTCGATTTAAAAATAAAGATAAATCTGACTGACGGTAACTGTTTGCTCTCCAAGTATGGCAAAAAACACAAATACCAGCTTTTTTCCCCCCTACAGTAATGGTCTTGTACTGACATCTGCCCCTTCAAGCAGCACTTACTATGGCCAAAACAATTACACACACACACACACACACACCCCTTCAAATATTCTATAAAACGACTGTAACATAGCATCATAACACTTAGGGACAAATCCTGAGTTAATGGTCATTCACTACTAAGCCAGCAGTGCCATGGTAATGGGCCATGAGAAAGCTGTCATTTTTTTCTGTGCTAGAGAGAAAGGAGATGGAAGAGATTTGCGTATGAATCAAAATTGCAGCCAAGATTTAAAGAAAGAGAATTTTCTTTTGTCTTATTCTCTCCTGTCGCCTGTTTGGTTTCCCTGCTGGGCAGATTTGCTCCCCTACATGGGAACTAGGAACAGCAGCAGCGTTAGTGAAACCCAGTAAGGACCTGATCCAGCTCCCATTAGAAGTCAAGGGAAACATTCCATTTTACTTCAGTGAGAGTTGGAACAGGCCCTAACATCCCAGTCTCTCAGGTATCAGCTAAGAGGTGAGTTGGGGAAGGGAACAGCTGACTTAAAAGATTCCCTCCCTGCTTCAGTACTAGGTGTCACAATATCCCTACCCACTCACTCACCATATCCAGAAGCGGCATTGCATGGTCTTTGGCCATGTTGCCAGGAAAGCTAAACACAACCCAGCACACTGTGTTCTCAAATTTCCATCGATGCACAAAGGGGTGCACCCCCCGGACCTTATCTAGCACCACCGTAGGGCTGCCCCAGAGATTCATGGATTCACAGGATTGAGCCAGATCTGGGAACGTCACTATACGATGTCTGGTGCAACGCCATCAACTGTGGTCCCTTTGGCTGGTGCAACAGTCCACAGTAGACTGTATGTGTTTGTTTGATTGATGAACTCAGGGATGGATGCAGAGGAAACCTTTCAACTTGTTGTGAAATTTTACAAACTATAGCTTCAAAACTAAATGTTGATATTATTTTAGGGCCTGATCCCACAGCCTCCCATGCATAGAGGTTTTATTAACTTCACTGGGACCATCTCATGCAAAAGGCCAGGAGGACCAGAGTATATTAAAGATGAAAGGCACCCTACCCTGCAGAGTGAGGAACACAAAGTGGGGAGAAAATGAAAATACTGTGTAGGACACATCGTGCTCCAGGGCTCTGATGAGAATCCACCCCTCACCCTTTGAAGACAATGACACAGTACCGCAGTTCCATTTGGACTATGCCCATCACAGCCTTCACGAGTTCCACTTGCTGGGGGAGTCACACTGTCTAACCACAATGTTACCGACATCCCGCACAATTCCTTAGGAAATCTTTACCAGGGCACAGTCAAGATTGCTTGGGTGACTAACTGTGAATTTTCCCTTCTTTGACATTTTTGGAGCATTTTCACCTTTTAATTTCATCTCTTTTTAATGTTTGCGGATCTTTATAAGGTTTGCAATAAGACTGGAGTCAGTGATAGGAACTTCCAACAGAAAAGTGCAGTATGACACTGAGTTTTGTTTCATCTGCTAACATGAAAAACCTCAGAGCTGTCTACTTCACACCAAATTAAAGCGCAGAATTCAATGCAAAAGATACTTCTTTAAAATCATGGAAATTTCCCAGACAGACACCTCATTATTTAATCAAATACAATGTGGCTATTACATATACATTTCCCCAGTAGATTTATTCCCCCCAAAATGGCTGGCTGGTTTTTATAGATATGAGGGTGAATAAAATAGATTCCTGTGCCCAGATGAGCAACTTCAGCCAGAGCATTTTATTCCACCTCCCTTCAAGTGAAGCCCTGGCACTACACTGGTCTACATGGCTGCTGTTCTCAGCTTAGCACATCTCCTCACTGCTCAATCTTTGGATTTTAAACTACTTCCACAAATACCAGATAACACCACAGCATTCAAGGTAGGAAAAGCCCAAGGTAGGGTCATGCTTCTTCTGGCAGTTACACCCCAGATCCAAGCAAAGGCTGGACAAGAACTGTACGGAGAAGACAGTTCATTAATGTGTTCATATCAGATGTACAGCACCCAGAATTTACATCACAAAGATCTCTCAAATATAAAACCCTGGCTAACATACTAAGGCCCCAGGCAAGACATCAGGAGACCTGGTGCTTATGACTATTCCTGCCTCTTCTACAGACTTACTGTGTGACTTTGGGTAAGTGTCAGTCCCTGCGTGCCTCAGTTTCCCTACCCCCCAAAGAACTGAGAATTCAATACTTTGTCACCAGAAATTTCACAAACCCCACAACTTCTAACCAGGACTTCATTATGAACAGCAGTTTTCTTTTGCTTTGAAGGTTTCACTTTGCCCTACATCCAGGTAGCGATTTAGCGATGGGAAGAAAGGGGAGGAGCAGGATGGGAAATCGGTGTCTAATAGCCAATAGACTTCCAGTTGCAAAAATGTTTGCTGCACAGCGTTGATTTGATTGCACATCCCTTCCAATACGCACAGCCAGAGATGCATCCTGTGTTTATACTGCATCGCTGCCCCACTCATCACCAGAGCCACTACAGACTGACCCCCTGGAAGGACTAAAATGGGGGACGAGTCATTATAGAATCTCTCAGTTAATAAGGTTTTTAATTTTTATATATTGCAGCTTTGAACTGGTTGGGTTGATATAATCCAATGGCCTCATCTTGCAGCGTGTGTGTGTGTGTTTCACTCCCACTGAAATCCATGAGCAGTGTGAGGAAGGACTGCAGGATCAGGCAGGTTACAGATGAAAAGAACCCTGCAGGGATGGAATATGTAAGGGGTAGAAAATGCAAACCAGGTGCTGGGTCACCGTCCTCCAGAGCTTTGGAGAAAATCCCAATCAGCCACATGTGAGGGCAATGACACAGAACTCAGTTCCAGCCCTGCCCAAGTTCAGCCTATCGCAGCCTGTGTGCACGTAATGGGGCCCACTCACTATTGCAATACATGATACCAAAGTCCTTTTTGCAGTGGAACCAAAGACCCTCAGAGGTACCTTTCAAAGAACCACCTTAAAGTAGCACGTCACATGCATTAGCTCAAAGCCAGTGTTCATGCCAAATTAAAATTCTGACTGCAGTGCAAATGATGCAGCTTTTATCTGGGCAATTTCCTGGAAAGGTACATCATTGCTTCATCTCCACACAAATGCTACGCGGACTGTCTCTGATACATGCACCTAGCAGATTTGCCCTGACACAATTGGACAGTTCAACAGTTGCACAGAAATCTCTATACACAGATTCCCAAGCGGAGACGTTTCAGTCAGAGGGATTCATCCCACACTCTCTCATCTCCCTTGAAGAGAAGCCATGGCACTAGCCTGCTTTGTTACATTTCTTAGCTTAGCGCATCTCCTCAGCAGTATGCCCCTGCAATGTGAACTCCTGCTTCCACAAATCCCAGACAACACTACAGCATCCAAGGTAAGAAAAGCCCTGCAGTGGGTTTTACTTCTTCTGGTGATTACACTCCAATTCCATGCAATGACCAGGAAGGAACTAGGCAGTGGGGACCATCCACAAAGATATTTGGGTCTTATGTTACAGGGTGAAGCGCACACAGTTTACATCACAATATAATATTCTCTCATATATAAAACCCAAGATAAAAAGATTAAAGTACAGGATTAGGAATCAGGAAACCTGGATTCTCTTCTTGTCTCTACAACAAACTATCTATGCATCTTCTATGCCTCAGTTTCCCCATTTGTAAAACGTGGAGAATACTTCCCTACCTAGCAAACATTGAATTAAAATACATTTGCCACCAAAATATACCACTACTGTAAGCACTTAAGTAATATATTATGTCACTATATAAATAGCAAATATTAGGTGGTAGTAGACCTGATGGAAAATGGGAAAGAATCCATACATGTTGTGACACATTCATAAATATTTTCAATCCCGTTGCATTTTGTAATAGCCCCGTTCTCCCCCCCACCAAATTCCCCTGGGATTATATTTCAAAATCAGAATTTCAAACTTGAAAAGTTTCCAAAATAAATTAAAGTTTTAATGCAAAACAAATCCCACAATGTGACTTCACTGACCATTTAAAAGTGACGGAAGGGTGAAAGGGAAAAAAAAACAGAAACCAAAAGTCACCTTAGAAAAATCAACATATTCAAAATTTTTATCCACCGTAAAGAATGCTGTTTCTTTCTCTCTTTTGGCTATTCTTGCTAGTTTTAGTGAGAGAACTTGACAGGGGCAAAACGCAGTACTACAGCAGAATGTGAGAGCAAGACTTGTCACTGTAAAGACAAGGCATTCATTTTCCCTCTTGGAACTCCATAAGAGTCTCTTATTCTATTCTCCTCTCCTGCCCACTTTATCTTCACAGCTGCTGGGGAAATGGTTCTACATAGCTGGTGCTTCACAGTTCCCCTTTCACCTGCTGGAAATGGTGCTGATAGATAATGGTTATCTTGATGTGAACCCTACTGAACAGGAGCAGGAGTTATTCATCAACCAGCATGTCACAGTGTAAGACTCTTCAATGCCTCCTCTTCTTCCCTTTGTCCATCTGTGCACCTATCTTATTTTTATACCATAATTTCCCCCTTACCCCATAGACTTTTCAGCACAAGGTTTTAATTAGCATCACCTGAACAAGGGAACGTTTGTTAAAAGTTTCTCTATTAATTTTTTTCCCAGTGATTTGTATGTCTCTCTGTCTCCCCTCACTAGTTCATGTCTGACTAAGCCTCCTACTAACAATGCTACAAGAGTTTAATTTAGTTCCACCATCTTATTATTATTTGAGGGAAGTTATATGGCCTGTGTTACACAGCAAGTCAAACTAGATGATCACACTGGTCCCTTCTAGCTTTGGAATCGATTGGTTTGGGGGGTTTTCTTGCCCTTGTTTTTTTTTTAACCTCTCCCATGGTCTTGCAGCCAGGTTAGATTCTTTCTTGCTCTCCTAATCAGTCTCTCTCTAGGTACCCTGCATCCATATTAATGTACCAGACTGTCCCCTGCAACACAAAGGCTGCCTGCTTATGTTGTATATGCCAGACCATGAACGTTCATGCACCATGAAAACTTACCTATGAGCATTGGGCTGTACCACGAGCCATGCATTGCAACCCCATCTCTGCCTCGCTCTGTCGCGGCCTTTGCAGATTGAATCCCTCCTCTCCAAGCATCAGGTTCTATCGTGGTCCTGGCAGGACCTCTTCAGGTTTGCCCAGCCCTCCTCAGTTACTTGTGCTCACTCTGACCTGTAGATAGATAGAGGCCATCAGTCTGGCACTAAACTCTCTTCTGTTTCACATATGAGATGGAAGAAGCTGGGCATATCCTGAATTCCCTGCAGTATTTATACTTTATATAAGTGTACCAATGTACCGCACAATACACCAGTGTATGTAATACACACAGACACTAGGTGCTATGTGAAGGCATGTAGCTCCCATCAATTTATAGAAGTACCTTCCTGGGGAGAAAATACTAGGCACTAAAGGAATCTTTAATCTATCAGAGAAGGGCATAACAAGAACCAGTGGCTGGAAGTCAAAGCCAGGAAATTCAATTTAGTAATAAGCCCCTCCCCGCCCCCCCCCCTTTTTTTTTATAAAGAAAGTGAACAAACTACCAAGGGAAGTGGTGGACGCCCCATATCTTGAGGTCTTCATGTCAAGACTGGACACCTATCTAAAAAATATACTTTTGTCAAACAAGTTACCAGGCTCAATGCAGGGGTAACTGGGTGAAATTCTATGACTTGTGTTATACAGGAGGTAAGGCTAGGCAATCTAATTATGGTGCCTTCTGACCTTAAAAACTACTCTCTCTCGACTCTAATGGTAGAATTTGCCTCCAAGTGTCTCAAGACAGCAGAATCCTTACCCTCACCTCTCTAATTATAGGCTGTTCACCCTCTCTCTCTCTTTTTAGTGGGGACAAATGTCTCTCAAACAACTCAACTTACCTTGAAGTCTCTATCAATAATGCCACCCTGATCAAGTATGGTAAGAATCTGATGCCAAGAGGGAAGCGGAGCACACAGAGGCATCATTATCTAAACATAGAGGAGGGCAAGTGGATGGGGGAGAGGGGTCAGGAGTTTGTATATTAGTTTCTCGGATGCATCTCATTTCCCATTGCACATTTGAAGCCTCAGGACAGGGAGGAATCAGGTGACCGAACCCACCGAGAACTTGGGGGACAGATTCCCCTTTGAAATGATCCCCTCCTCATTGGGGCAGTTCTTTGCACCATTCTCAGAGAGATAAGATAGTAGTCAGAGAGCCATGCACAACCATTTATGGCTGAACACACCAAGGAATCGTGAGCGAGCTGCATACATCCATGTTAGGATGAGAGCCAGGCATCTTTGGCTCCTTAAAATCCCAGGCCATTATCTAAAAGAAGACCAAAAAACACTAAAGGCCTACTGCAACTTGTATTGAAATCAATGGGAGATTTTCTCCCACTGACTGCTGGGACTTGGACTGGGCCCTACAGAAGAAGCTAGACCAGGATAGGACTTTTCTACACGTGATCAGATCCCTGAGCAGATGGTAGCAAAACATATATTCATCTATAATCAGACCAATAAACTCACTGTCCAATATTAGCAATTCTTGCAGGTTTATACCAGGTCTTGTTACACAGAATTGGGTCGAATTTAATATTCTTACTGCCCACTCCTAACTCCTAATTGTGTTCTCGCGAAGCCAAGAACCAGCGCACCATGGGGAAGCTTATGAAGAGCAGTTCCGAAGAAATTTTCCTCATTCAATACCAGATGCATAAGGAGAAGAACTACGCAGGATTGTATCTTTATGGTATGCAAACCCCATTATAAAATAACTTGAAGCTGTAATCAGAGGGTATGAAGAAGTTTCACCCCCATATAATAAAACTACATCAGAATTTTCAGTGTTGCCAGCTTTCATGATATTTGGTGGTTTTCTTGAAGCCCCAGCTCCTGGAGTTACAGGAATACATAAAAATCGGAGCTTTAATTTTAAAAAAAGTTTTTAGCCATCATAGTTGCAAAGAAAAGCTTGAAAATATGACCCAAGTGCACCCTGCAGGTTCAAAAACCAGAATGCCAATAAAAAACTCAAAATGTATTGGTTTTGTAAAAGCATGTGATTGTAAGCCAATTTCATGATCTTAAGTGGCCTAATTCATTATTTTTTCACACTTGGGGTTGACAATAATGGAACTTATAAAGCCCCCTCACCAACTAGATCACTCTACCACTCCACGAGGCAGAACTTCTCTTTACTCCTTCTGGCTCAGAAGCAACTACATAAGGGAAAAAGTCCCAGCACTTTCCAAAGAGTGCCTCGCTCCTCCAGAGCAGTCAGAGAACTGCCTACAGGGGCGGCTCTATGTATTTTGCCGCCCCAAGCATGGCAGGCAGGCGGCTTTCGGCGGCGCGTCTGCTGGAGGTCCGCTGGTAACGCGGATTCAGCGACATGCCTGTGGGAGGTCTGCCAGTTCCGCACCTTCAGCGTCCCCGCTGCTGAATTACCGCCGAAACCGCGGGACCGGAAGACCTCCCACAGGCATGCCACTGAAGGCAGCCTGACTGCTGCTCTCACGGCGACCGGCAGGCCGCCCCCCACAGCTTGCTGCCCCAGGTACGCGCTTGGAGCCGCCCCAGGTACGCGCTTGGAGCCGCCCCAGGTACGCGCTTGGAGCCGCCCCAGGTACGCGCTTGGAGCCGCCCCTGACTGCCTAAGAACCCCCAGCACTTTTTATAATATATATCCCTCAGCAGATCACAGGGAACTCGCAAGCACAGACAATAATGGCAGTCCCAACCACCACTTACAGTGGGTGCCTTTATAATTCACAGAAGTGACACTGGAGAACAAGTGAAGGATACGGGGCATTAGAGAGCAATGCCCAAGCGTAATTTGGTGCTTGGACCAGCACTGGGGCTGTCACTCAGGAGCGCCTTAGTTGACTGCGTTCAGGAAGGGAAGGGAAGGGTTGAGCCGAGCACCGTGGAACATTCTGGGCACCTCAGCAGTGCTGGCACAAGATGGCCCTCTGCTGGGTGCCAGTGACCTAGAACTTTTACGTTAGGAGACGTCCTGTCAGCCCACGGGATGAACAAATGGAATCCATAGCCTGGGGCTCTTTAGTGTACCGTGGGTTTCCTTGGGCTACAAATACTGATTCGGGGTACCGATCCTAAAGCAAAAATGTGCAGCTAGGATGCCATTTTCTCCCACCACATTGTGTACACCAAAAGCTGTTTAGAAGTGAACTCCACTTACCTCAAATCCTATCACTTGGGGTGAGAGGAGATGCCATGCTATCCAGGGCCAGCTCCAGGGTTTTTGCCACCCCAAGCGGCAGGAAAAAAAAAAAAGCCGCCGCAATCGACGGCACTTCGGCGGCAGCTCCACCACGCTGCTTTCTTCTTCGGCGGCGGGTCCTTCCCTCCAAGAGGGACCGAGGGACCCACCACCGAATTGCCGCCAAAGAGCCGGACGTGCCGCCCCTTCCCCTCGGCCGCCCCAAGCACCTGCTTGCTGAGCTGGTGCCTGGAGCCGGCCCTGATGCTATCCCTCTCCATCTCCTTCCATTTCCCTTCCTGTCCCACCCACATTCTCCCTCCATGCTGTCTCCATCTTCTATCCCATTCTCATTCTTATATTGACCTCCCCTCTCAGTTTCCCTCCTTCTGGCTCCCCCACCTGTGTCCCTCCCACACACTCTCTCTCTCTGCACCCTCTCCTCAGTTTCTTGCCACCTCTTGCCCCTCTTCAGCCCCTTCAGACTCCTGCCCACTTGCCCAATCCTAGATCCCTTAGAGTGGCCATCTTCCTAGTGTGCAGCCCTGCGTCAATCTCAGTGAAAATGATAAGTTATGGTAACAATCTCGACTAAGGGCAGCCTCAGTTCCACATACAGAAACTAAAGGGGAATGGCAGCCATCTTGACTGAGAGAATCCTATGGCCTCCATCCCATTGAGAGTAATAGAAGATGGCAGCCAAATCACCACAAGGGCAATATTCACAAGAAACAAATACCAAATATCATAAGAGTTGGACACACTGTGCTCCCTTAACAGAATGGGCCATCACTAGCCACTGAAGCCAGCCTCTCCAGTCCTGCCTGGCTCCTTTTCTGCTGGGGTGGTTTTGGGGGATGGGAGGGACGGGCTGAAGAACCACTGCCTAGAGTCAGCTGCTAAGATGGTGCCTGTGTTCTCAATCCTGCCTGAGGGAGTGGGGCTCAGGGCTGACTGAGCTGTGAGAGGGGAAACTGCAATCTAGTGCCCACAGAGCCAGCCAAGCACCCTGACAAGGGGAGCGGGGAGGATGGAACAGGAGGGACAGGCCCTTCACCCCAAGCCTTCTCTCTGTAGCTGGCAGGGGAGGGAGGCACCTCAGAAGGAGAAGCAGTGCTGAGGGGAAAAAACTCACCCAGAGCTTATGCAACCCTGGGACATGGCTGGGATTCAGTCCAGCAATTTACTAAGCCAAGTCGTCAGAAATCTGGGAGTGTGTGTGTTGGCCTTTCCCCTCAGGAAAGCTCTGTAGTAGGGTGGGCCAGGTGAGCCACCTGCCTGCCTCCATGGATGGGGAATGAAATCGCCAGGGACCAGCGAGGACAGGGCTACCCCAGCTGGTAGGTCTGAGTCGGGTCGCATGGCAAGCAGGGTGAAGTGCCCATTGTTATGGTCAGGGCCGCCCAGAGGATTCAGGGGGCCTGGGGCAAAGCGGGGAAGCGGACATAAAAAAAAAGCACCACCTGCTGCGGCGCTTGTACTCACCAGGCGGTGCTCCGAGTATGCGGCAGCAGCGGCGGGTCCTTCACTCGCTCCGCATCTTTGGCAGCGCTGAAGGACCCGCTGCCAAAATGCCGCCGAAGACCCGGAGCAACTGAGGGGCCCCATGCCGCTGAAATCCCGGACCACCGCCGGGCGAGTAGAAATTAAAAAGGCACCTCTAGCCAGGAAAGTGATTCTCAGCCAGGGCTCGCGGGGCCTGGGCAAATTGCACCAATTACCCCCCCCACCCCCCCTCGGCGGCCCTGGTTATGGTTCTGTGTCCCTCAGGACCATGAAGAATGGGCAGCAAATAAAGTATTTCACAACAGACAGAACCCCCACTGCGCCAGCCAAGGGGGAGGGGGGGCACCACATGCCCAAGCTGAGGAGAAAAGTGGGAGTTGTTCTTCCCACTCTCCCCCACTTGAGCATCCAAGAATGGGATTACACTCAGCAAGCCAGTAAGTGTCATGCCCCTCTGAGCTGCATTCCGGCTCTCCAGCCATATTAGCCCAAATGAGGCTCTGATGGTGGGTTTAAGTAGCTTTGGAAGTTCACTTCTGATTCACTGCTCATTCACCGGTGACAGAAGAGCTGTAGATAAAGAGTTCTAGGCTAAATGTGGGAAGCACACATTTTAACAAAGGGATTATTAGGTGCCTTGTAAAACTGATATTTCTATAAAACCATCTTAATTGAAATTACATTTTATAAGCACAAAACATCAGAGGATTCATTTGCCAGTAAATATATACCACACAGCTCTGGTGCATTGAAGCAATTATGTATTAAGCATTATGCCCTGTTAATCAGGAAACCCAAGGTGAGCATGTACTAACTAACGTATGACAGCCCTCCATACACACCAAAAGGTCATCATCGGCATGGTTTGGACTTCAGATGTTCTGCACCACAGCACTGACCTCTACTACACAAGCTAAAGGAGCACCACCATTAGCTAGCAGCAATAGTATACTATTATCCTCTATATGAATCAGCCACTAGAGAAGTGCCACTTTACAAGTATGTTATAAATACATACCCTGTGGGGGTTAACAGTCACAGCACAGATAAAGTGACATGAATAGAGAGGAGAGAGAATCTCTTACTAGGACAACCTGGTTAAGTGTGTCAAACAGAGAGAATGAAGAAACAGGGAGGATAGGTAAGGAACATGGAAATTATATGCCTAAACTAATTATATTAATCAAGCGCCTACTAAACTGCTCTCTAATATTTAATGCTGCAATTTCTTCCTTTTTAAAACAGCCCGGAACCAAAACATGAGTAACACTCAGTTGGAGGAATTCAGAGACCATGCTAAATGTCTGGGTCTTCGTGAAGAGGAAATAATTTATGCACCATGGCAGAAGGTAAAGTTCTCATTATGGATCAGTAAATATCCTTGGCCCCATCTTCAGTGCCACACAACAATATTCAGAGGGGTATCGTGTTAGTCTGTATCCACAAAGACAACGAGGAGTCCGGTGGCACCTTAAAAACTAACAGATTTATTTGGGCATAAGCTTTTGTGGGTAAAAAACCCCACTTCTTCAGATGCAACAATATTGTAACCCTCAGGAGCTGGGAGGGAACAAAAGGGGCCAGCCTCAGCTACAAGGAGTTTTATAAAAAATGAATAAATCGTCTTAGATCACCGCAATGTATAGTCCAGGGGAAAACTTCCAAAGCACCCAAGTCCCATTTTCAAAAGTGACCTAGGCACTTAAGAGCTTAAATGTCCTTGTAAAATCAATGGGATTTAGACTCTTAAGTGTCTAGGTCACTTTTGAAAATGGGACTTGGGTGCTTCTGAAAGTTTTACTCCCAGAAAACAAATCTTCATGTGATGGACATGCATATTCACAGAACAATGCTCTAAAAATGTGTGGTTTGTAAAGATCATGAACCTGATCACCACCTCCCCCCTCTCAGAACAGGAATTAAGTACAGGACTTAAATACAAAAAGAATATACCCACAGACCCACTCTTCCATTATCTATAATATCTTACATTTCTATAGTATCATTCATGTCAGAATAATTTATAAGCTACACATTCAAGGAACAATTCACTTATCACTAAAATGCAGCCATCTGTAGGGAGGAACATGGCAACTGCTAACAGCACACAGCTATACCACACAACAGTTTAGAACAGGGTTTCTCAACCCATGAGTCAGAACCCAAAATTGGGTCACCAGAATGTTTTAAAGGGTCACATGGCAGCTCCTGTCCTACAGGGTTGGCTGGGCTCGACTCCCTGCTCCAGGCACTGCAACCTCTGGGGTCCCAGCACCACTCAGGTTCGGACAAGGAGTCTGGGTAGGCCACATTTAAGTGAGTGGCACTGCAACCCCATGAGGCAGGTCACAAGTCCACTCACAAATTTGTTCCAGTCAGGAGGGCGGGAGGGATCAAACCTAAGCAGCACTGTAAGCTCAGAGGTTGCAATACCCAAAGTGGAGAGCCAAGTCCAGCCAGCCCCACAGCACAGGAGCTGCCACTGTGCGGTGAGTGCCAGGCAGGACCACACCCCACCCAGGGACAGGATCCGACCAAAACCACCCCAGGGCAGGGCCGTAACCAGGGTGGGACAAGCAGGGCAGCCATCCAAGGTACAAAACCACGAGGGCAGCTCGGTCAGGTCAGGCCAGCCCTGCATGGCAGGGCTCGGAGGGAGCGCCACTTCCACCTGACTCTCCTCAGCAGGCCACCCAGCCTGTCGGGGGAGGGAAATAACCTGAAAAAAAAATCCAGGTGCTTGCTCACCCCGGGTCCTAAAATGCCTAGTTATGGCTCGGTCCCAGGGCCTCCACCCCCAGACTATTTATTGGGTCACAATAGGCCATAAACATTTACAAATGCACCCTGAGCCCCCAAAATTTGAAAACCCCAGGTTTAGGACATAACAGGAAATGAAGAATGCCAAAGCTAGCTGACCCTACAGGAGCTAGTTTAGCCAGAAAAAGTTATTCAGTCCAGAATTTAGCTAAAAGCTACAGATCTCTCTCTGGATCGGGCAGAAAGCGTCAGCTGAAAGCAGGGCCGCCGAGAGCGGGTTCGGGCCCTGGTGAAAAAAAATATTTTCGGGCCCTCCAGCAAGGGCAGACTGGCTAAACAGGGCCGACGAGAGTGGGGGAAACCGTGGAAGCTGAGCCCCCTTCTGGACCGCCAGGCCCCGGTAATTTGTACCTGCTTTCCCCCCTCCTCTCATCAACCCTGGCTGAAAGACAAAACTCTTCAACAGCACATCATCCACCCTCCTGCCCCCATTTGTATTCCAAAGCATTCCGCCCCCATTTGTATTCCAAAGCATTCCTTCAGTACGGACTCCAAAGGAAGAGCATTCCCTGTCCCTACTGCATGACCAGCCCCACTTCCAATAGAAGTTTGGGTTTTTCTAGGTCTCCCACCCAAGAAATAGCTCAAGGGTGCTGGAATTTGAAAGATTTGATAAGAACATAGCTCAAGACAGTAGAGCCAGACCCTTTTCCTGTTTCATTTAATATACACACCTGGTTCAGAGGCTTATGTCCGAACAACTAAGGTCTCTAGGTAATTTTATAGTCCTGGCAGGCATACATTCTTTTCCGGACAAAATGGTGGTGCAGGGATAACTCTTACCATAGATGATCAGGTGCCATCTCCTCTGCTTCTTCAGAAATGTCTGTTCCTAATTAGTACCTGAATCCAGCTTCAGGTGGTCTCATTAGGCAGCTCACCACTTAGAGGTTAGTAGAGAAAACCTAGTCTCAGAGAGAATCTGAGTACTTCCACACCAGAGTAACAGAGGAATTTCTCATGGGGAATCTCCCACACTTTCATATGACAATTAAGGTCAAAGGAAAACAAACTACTGAAAGTAAAGCTTTGAAACAATTGCCACTACTAAATTGAACAGAATTCTAGCAAGAACAGTCAGACAACCTGAAGCCTGTCTAGATTTGCTCCTTCTTTCCCCTTTGAGCAGCCAGCTCTCCCTATAAGCCAATTTGCAATCACCTGTGGAGGTAGCTACTTGTTCCCAACAAGCTAATTATGGGTTGCTGCAAACTTAAAGTGACAACCCTACATTTGGACCAAATTTAAGTTCTGGTAAAAATCAGAAGTTTTAGAAAAAAACAATAGGAATAGTCCAGGTCAGTCTTGTTCTTTCACAGTTCTGATGAACACAGGTGCTTTCAAATAAAGAAAGATTCCCCAGTAGAGTCAGACCCAAGACCTTTGCAGCCCTAAGAATTTAAAAGGAGAAGTGACTATACCAAAACTAGGACTGACTTCTTTGATTTTTCTTGGCCAGGCTGAAAGAAATGCAAGTGAGCAGAGCAGAAGTAGTGACAAGCAAAAACACATTTTAAAATGTTACATTTTCAATCTAGGGCATCAATATTAACATAGTTAAAGAAATGTGTTGACAGAGGATTTAACTTCAGTACCTCTTAAGAGTACAACTTTTTACATAATTCCTTGAGCTTCTAAAAAGGATTTCACCCATTTTAATTCATCTAGTTGCTTTCCCATACTCACTTTAGGGCATGCTTAATGTACAGGTCACAGGGTAGCATTACTGTTGTTACATATAGTTCCTACTTTATATTACAGACTTAGAAGAACTGTTAGCTGCAGTTCTTATCCCACCCAGAAAAAAAAAATGTTGTATGATCATAGATCAGCAGAATCCAGGGAATGGCGTAGGAGAGGTTACAGCTATAGTAACAGTATTAACCCTGGGTAAAGCATACAATTAACACAGGCCCAGTTTCTCCCAACAAGGTGACTTAGTTCCTTTGGGGGGGCTAATTTATTGCTGAGCAAAAAACAAAGAAAAGGAAGTGATTGCTCTAGAGAATTCTCTCCTGTAGGTTCCATACTGACATCAATTGTATTTGCTGCCTGTTTTTCTCAGAAGGAGCTATGCCCAATGTAAGAAACCAAACAAACAATTCCCCAGGCAAGGGGACCCCAGCTCCAGTACTAGGATAACTCTGAAGCTAGCACAGCTGGACATCAGCAACTGACCACTTAACCTCTGCAGCAAATAAAAGTTTTCCTTATTAGTTCTGCTGTGTATTGTTGATGCAACATCAACCAGGGGAGTTGCTCTACTAGATAGGTAGATCGGGGTTTAGTGAGGAGAGATCACAGCTAGTTTTGATTTGCCTAGTTATTTGCAAACAGACAGTTAATAGGCCAACTTTCCACATGCTGGACAAATGGCAGTAACCATGGTTGCAAACCAGCATGAAACTTGGACATTTCTTCTCTGCTGGCTCAAAGCACCGAGTTTTACACAGGGGGTTCAACAGCACCAAATGGGAAACAGAGGGCAGTTTTAACATTCGGTTCTCCACTATGGAAACACATTGATACTACTCTGAAACTCAATGTTGTGAAAACCAGAAGAGGGCACTCCTGTACTACTAAAAGTTACTGTACCAATAAGTGCTGGAAGGCACAGCTGATGTAATACACAGGGAAAAGCCTCATTTCTGTTTTCCTTTAAAACAGCTGGATAGCGTACATCAGGCTGAAGTGTAAAATTGAAGCTTACCTAGTCACAAACTTGGCTACCAGAATTAGTCATCTGTTCCTATGAGGAAAATTCCTTTCTAAAACTTGTAGATGTGAATTAGAATCCCAGCTCCAAAGGATGTTTGCCTATTTCAAGGGCGAGGGAAACTGGCTGATCACTAAGCTAGCAAAAACAATGACCATGTCAGATCTCTAGGAGCCTACACCAGTGGGGGTTCCATCACTCAGAAATGGAATTGTTTCGATAGGCGGGATGTCATGAGCAGCCTGAATCCCAGGAACTCCAGCATACCAAAACCACAAATGATCAAATAGTGTCCTATCTGTAGAGCACTTTATTACAGGCTTTCCCAGAGAACCCCTGGGTGGCCTTACATGAGCACCTCACATCAGTTCATTAATGTAATGTCACAGCCCTATGAGGTGGGGAAGTTTTATTGTTCTTGAGCGAACTAAAATGTACAGATTAAGTGACTCACCCTGGGGTGACTCACTTGTGACAAAGCCAGGAATGGAATTCAGATTGCCTTAGTTCCAGTCCAGTGCTTAAACTAACCTTCCTCCTCTTTGAGATGAAACAGATCATAAGAAATGCAAGGAAGAGGTGGAGTAGAAAGCAAATCCCCTTTCCCCAGAGCTAATCCCTCCTAGTTCTAGGTTGGTAGGTATTTCATGAGCACTGCAATTTCAATCAGTTTTGTTCCTTCATTTCTCTTAATAGGGGAGAGGAAGAATAGGTGTCATGAGTGGTTCCTATAGTGAAAATGGAATTGTAGAGGTTTACCATCTCTCAGATGTGCCCCTCATGATCTCAGGGACCAGGGCCAGCCCCACAATTAAAAACACACCTCTACCAGACAGGGACAGGCTGGCTTAGCACCATGCCCCAAAAGGTCAGTCTGGCTCTTGAGTGCCCAACAGGAGACCATTAACTCAGTAACACCCTCCACTGATAATTGCCACCAGCCTTTAGACTACAGGATCCAATCTAGGGAATGCTAACTCAAGTGATTCCGCTGATTGCAACTGCAAAAGGTAGTTTCTCAAATACTTAGGATTCAACCTTGTTAAGGTTTTACAAATGAATAGAAATTCCTTGAACATCTGGAAGTACATAGGGAGCCAGTGTGGTCCTTGGAGGACTAGTGTAAAATGGTCCCCATGGTTAATTTCACTAAGCAAGGGGGTGGCTATGTTCTGCACTAGCTACTGTACTTGAATAGTCTGCCAGGGTATGCACATAGAGCACTTCATTGTTAATGGGCACTGTAAAAAGCACATCAAGACAATGCCCTTTAAAACCCAAGTGCCAATACCTCGAGGGTGCAGTCAGACTAAATAAAAGGAACTACAGATCCTCTATGCAGAAAAACGATCCAGCTATCGACCAGAATGAGAACAGAGATTCACCAGCACCCACCGCACAGACAATAGGTTGGTAATGGGATATGCTTGACTCATTCTCATTGCCACAGTAAACATTTAGTTCTGGTTATACTCAGGTGTTCCCTTGAATTGGGATTCAAAGGGGATTCTGCTCTGACAGTCTTGCTGTCAATTACCCTCAGTGAAGAAAAGGGGTTATAGGAAAAAACTGGCCCCACAGTCACTTGCACAGCACCAGTGATGCACACTCAGAGAAACGCAGGCACATGGTAGCTTTGATAGACCTTTATTAGCAGACTGTTCCCTCCATGAGGAATCTCATTGGTTAGATTTGTGTTCTGACAACTTCCAGTTACAGCTACAAAGACAGTCACATTTTGCATTGATTTTTGTATTCGGAATATTCCCATTAGGCCACACTGGTAGGAAGGAGCCACTGCAGAATTAACAGTTGGTCTCAAAAGGGGAGGTGAAAAAAAAATCATATCACTAATCCAGGTACAAAGTTAGATTTCCATCTGGCAAGAACAGACAGCAAGGAGAGTACCTAAAGACTGACTGTTCTCCATACTGCCAAAGCCTGTCACACCCGGAGCAGCTGCCAGGAGTGCCTAACGAAGCCCTTCCCGTTCCCACAAAACTTCTCCATAGTGCACGTGTGTGTGAGGAGCACTGGGACTCAGCAGCAGGTCTGCCCACTCCCCTTCAAACAGAACTGCAGCAGCTTGTGTCCAAGTGCAAGTTTCCTTCCACATTTCTGGAAACTGGCAACTTTTGTCTTATTTTTAAATCCCTGAGATTTTTTACCACAAAAATTCCAAATCGACCCTCTCTCAATTAGCCGTTGAGACATCAACATACACAGACCTTCCATTTCCCCAGCTTGAGCCATCCACAGGAAATCTTGTCTCACACACACATGCGAGGCGATTCCAGAGCAAGGCAAGCCTCAAAATACACCATTCTGTGTCCCTTGTCCCAGTGGACTGTTCCCTAGCTAATCAGTTCCCCTCCCTTCTATGGCTTATTGCTACAGAGAATTTCTCTTGACTGACTGAGGCCCTCCAATAACCAGCCCAGATATAAAAAGAGCAGCTCAAGCTTTAGGGGAAGAGAACACTAGTGACCTCAGTGTCTTCCCCTGCTGCTGAGCTGTGTGATGGTAAAGGTGCAAATGGGTAAGAAAATAATACAGAACTTTAAATAGGAGAAATACAAGGACAGTAACAATATTTAAACAAGTCTATAAAAATAGTTTACATAACTCTGTTCAAATAAATACAAAATAAATAGGATTTAAGCAGTATGACATGAGTGGAATGTGACACTGGTCCATTTTGCCCCAAATCAAAAGTTGGAGGAGGATCTCCTGGGCCCCAGAAGCCTGATCCTATAGACTGAAGTAGCCCAGAATACAGTCAGAGAAATTTTAAAGCCATTCCCTTCCCTTCCACCTATGAAAAGCACCCTCTGGGAGAAAACACAAGCAGTCATCTTCAAACCCCTGACGAACCCGACTTCCTCCCAATGTCAGCTAACATCCCTTCCCACAACATTACTCCTAGCCTGGGGATTCCTTATCCCTCAAATGCAAACCCTAACTCCAAGTCTACAAAGAGATCTAAAGAGGGATAAATAGTAGCTTAGCTGCAGGATTTGGAAAGGGTCAGTCGTCCCTGAACCTTGTTCAGAGAACCAAGCAGGCTGCAGAGCCTTCTCCCATGCTGTGCCAGGAGCCCAGCTACAGAGATGGACAAGAGTAGCAGAGTACGGTCAGTTATTCAGTGAAGCCGTGCATCGAGGCAACAGTCCATTCAGAGCTCTCTAGCCTTCCCCTTTCGAAACCTCTGCTGGGCATGAATGACAAACCCATCTAGCATGCAGCAATGCAGGTGTGCAGGCTTTAGTCTGCTGCTTCTGTTAGTAAGTGCATCTTGTTAGCAGGTTTATGAGAGAGACTTGCTCTGACCTATAAAAATAAATAATCCTAATTCTCCACCAGACTGGCCTAAGTAACCTTCAGCCTGAGTGGAAGAACCACTGCTCACCAGCCCCCAAAACTGGTCCAGTTTAAAGTTTCGTTTCGTGTCAGAGTCTCGGAAGCAGAACATGAATGTCTCCTACCGAAAGAAATACGTGTAAACATAATAAATAAGTCTGTGGTGGCAGCACCAACACAAAGTTTGTACAATTTTAAACAGGTAGGAGGTTAAACTGAATGGAAAAAAGCTCCTTCAGCATTTCAAAAGTTGCTACATATCTCCAGGCCAGCAGCTCTGTTTCTACATGTAAGATCCCCGCTCTACTAGGCTGCTGGAAACTGGCCTCAAACTTGCAGCTTGAGACACAACCAGGAGTTGATCCCCTGGTCTCCCAATTGGTCCCCTGTATGCTTGAAGGACCACTTGATGGTTTAAGCAGAGCTCTTGAGTAGCAAGATGGCAAAGGACACCAAATCCTCCACATCCTGACTCACACCCAACTGGATTCTCACAGCTTTGCTTAGTCAGCTTAGTGTTGACACATTCACAGAATGAGAGATGGCTATACACCCCAGGATTACAGCCCAAGATTTCAGAGTTCAGAATCCTTGGTGTCTCCTGGTCACCGTGACTGCACCCCCAGGGTCATCTTCAAGTTCTCATAAACCACGTAGCTGATGCTTACGGCTGGGATCACCTTCATGAAGTTCGGGGCCAGACCCCGATAGAGGCCAAATGCTCCCTCTGTCTTTAGAATGTGTTTGAAGAGTCCCCTCATTGTCACCTCTGGAGCTCCCTCCACTGAAGCTACAACAGAAACACAAGAAATAGTAGAGCATGGATTAAGGTATGTTGTAAGAAAATGCCCATCTCAAAGGCATGTGTTAGATTTGTTTATTGCACTCATACGAGCAGAGACTCTTGAGCTACACTGACCATATAGTTACAGGAGTGAGAGAAATTAGGCAGCAGAATGAGGCCATGCCACATATGCCTGCCATTTCCACACACACCAGCTCATGGGCTGACTAGAGCACACAAGTAAAGAGAATGAAAAAATGGCTTGGTTATAGAGGCT